GAAGACGTGCGGAGCCCGATGGTGGGTGCGATGTGTCACCGCCAGTGCGCTTAGGCTTGCTGCGCTGGTAGTGGTCGAGCGTGTAGCTGATCTGGTTGGCGGCGCACATGCGGATAAGGGCGCTGCCAAGCTTCTTCGTGTTGGACTTGTGCATGTCGTACTTTGCCTGGAGCTCGTCCGCGTTCAGTTCGGCTAGCCCGTTATAGGCGGCCGTGGGGCGGTCAGACCCCGCTTGCCTGAACGCTGCGATGCAGTCCTGCTTGCGTTGAAGGAGGGACCCTTCAGCAGCAGGGCGCGTGGGGCGGGAGCTCGGAGGCTGCTTTGAAGAGTGACGGCGCTCCGGCTTCTTGGGGGCCATTGCTGCGGGCACTCTGGTGCGGAGAGGTGACGCGAATCAGTAGGGTCCTGCTGGGACCCCTCCGGTCTCGCGAGGCCTGGGAGTCTGACTCCGAGGCGGGGCGCTTCGCGTCGTAGCTGCGGTCTGAGTGCAGAGCACTCTCGAGCCGAGACTAGAGAGACAGAGAGAGAGAGAGAAAAGAGAGAGAAAGAGAGAGAGAGAGAGAGAGAGAAGAAAAAAAAAGGGGGGTCGTACTCGAAGACATCAAAATACGTCGCATTTGGGTCCTCATCCATTTTCCTCCCCCCGCTCCCTTCAGATCTGCTGGCCCCCCACCCGCCCTTGGAACACGTGTGCCCGTCCCGCGGGCACGCGAGTTTCACGGCCCGTGTGCCTGCGAGGGGGCTGGCGCCCTCGACCAGGAAGCCGAGTTCAGCTCGCGCCGCGCGCGCGGGCGAGGCGAAGGTCCGCGAGGGCAACAATCCCAGAGATCCAACGCATTGAAAAAATCAGGACGGAGGTTTTTCGCAAGTTTCGGCCTCGATGGGCTCTCGCCGGGCCCCAGGACCGTCAAAAGACGACTCAGGCTGACAAGCCGGCCCCGGGGAAAGGGTCGGGACTTCTGGGGACGCCGTCCTGAAAAAATCACGACATCAGATCTCTGGGATGTCGGAGGTTGGGGGGTGGGATCGCAGTGAAATTGAGACCCCCCACCTGGAAACCGGTTTCGGTTTCGTGCTCGTGTCGTGCGTGCGGGCGAGGCGAAGCTGCGCGTGACCCTCCTGTGGCTAGGCCGAAGTAGGAGCGAAAGTCCGTTCCCGTCCGCCGGTGGCTGGGAGGTGTCCCAGTTGGGCCGGGCGGTGTCCTGGGTGTCCCGGGTGTCAGTAGGAGCGAAAGTCCGTTTCCCGTCCGCCGGTGGCCGGGAGGTGTCCCAGTTGGGCCGGGCGGTGTCCCGGGTGTCCCAGGTGTCCCGGGCGTCCCGGCGCTAACGCATGTCGCTAATTTCATAATTCATGTTTTTCGGCGCTTGCGGCGGGCTTTCTTATCCAATCCAGGTTATCTTATCCAATCCATCTTGTCCAATCCAATCCATCTTATCTTATCAACCCATCTTGTCCCATCTTATATTATCCCACCCGATCGAATCCGCCCAACCCAATCCATCAATTAATTTGTTTCTGCGCCTGCGGCGGGCCAATCCAACCCATCATAGCTTATCCAATCCATTTCTTCCAATCCAACCAATATTATCTTGTCCCATCTTATCTTATCCCACCCAATCCAATCCACCCAACCCAATCCATCAATTCATTTGTTTCTGCTTCTGCGTCGGGCCAATCCAGTCCACTTGATCTTATCCAATCCACGTCTTCCAATCCAACCCATCTTACCTTATCCAATCCATATTATCCCATCCAATCCAGTCCACCCAACCCAATCCATCAATGCATCTTTGTCGACGCTGCGGCGGGCTTTCTTATTCAATCCAGCTTATCTTATCCAATCCATCTGGTCCAATCCAACCCATCTTATCTTATCCAACCCATATTGCCCCATCCTATCTTATCCCACCCAATCCAATCCACCCAACCCAATCCATCAATTCAGTTGTTTCTGCGCCTGCGGCGGGCCAATCCAATCCATCGTATCTTATCCAATCCATCTCTCCCTATCCAACCCATCTTATCTTATCCAGAGAGAGAGAGAGAGAGAGACAGAGAGAGAGAGAGAGAGACAGAGAGCACGAGAGAGATGAGATCAAGGTGACAGGTTGGAGGTCAGTCAGGGTGGGCATTTGATCCCCCTCCCCCCCCAGCCTCCTTATCGCCCGCAGGGCGGTCGTATAGGTATCGGCGCTGTTAGGGCCAGATCGGACACAGAGTTTCCGTTCCGGTCCCGTGGTTGCCCACCGTGGTCGTCGCACGGTTGTTCCGTGGTTGTCCCGTGTTTTGTTCACGATCGGCCCGTGTCGGTTGTCCTGTGTCTGCCCCGTTGGCTGGTTGTCCCGTTGCTTTCCCGCGGTGGTCTCGTGGGCTGTCCCGTGGGTTGTCCCGTGGATTGCCCTGTGGGCTCTTGTCCCGCGAGTTACCCAGTGGTCGTCCCGTGGGTTGTCCCGTGGGCTGTGTCGTGGTTGTCCTGTGTTTGTCCCGTGGGTTGAGATGTGCACATCCGGTGTGGGTCGCGGGCGGGTCGCGGGCGCGGGTCGCGGGCGAGGGTCGCGGGCGAGGGTCGCGCGCGGGCCTCGCGCGGGTCGCGGGCGGGTCGCGGGAAGGCAGCCGGTGGGGTCGCGGGTTGGGCCGTCGGCGGTGCGCGAAGCGCGGGCGCCAGCGTGAGAAGGTGCCCGCCGCAGGCGCCATGTTTGGACCTCGTCGACGCAAGCAGCCCGCCGGAGGCAACGATTTCTCGGCACGAGCGGGGTCGCGAGCGTGGGTCGGAAGCTGGGCAAGGGCCGCCAAATCCGTGGCTGCCAAAATCGACCTCCAGGAGGTTGTCTGCGTCCTTCCGGGAAGGAGCCCGTCGACTGCTCCGCGTGCCGCACCTCCTTCCGGGAAGTTGTTCTTTTCGCAAGCCTAGAGATTGACACCAACACCAATATCGGCGGTGTGCCTCCACCGAGGGAAGAAAATCCCGATCTCGGCGATGGTGGTAATGTTCTGGCTTCCAAGGTGGCCGAACTACTGCCACCAACACCGAAATCTAGGATCATCTTCCCCCCGTGGAGACAAACCCCTGTGTTGGTGTTGGTGCCCATTTCCAGGCCTCCAGCCACGGTGTTAGCAGCCCTCGCCCAGCTTTCGAGCGGGTCGCGGGTGGGTCGTGTATTAGGGGCCTGGAAGCCGAAGTTCCACGGCTTTAAGTTCGTCCTCTCCAAAGCCTCGCCTCGTCCTCCTCGAATGATGTTTTGCTCTCTATCGTTTCTGTCTTGTGCTTCCGCAGCCGCGACCCTCCCCCACGACCCGGTCGTGGGAGGGTCGCGGGGTGCGGCGCGGGAGGGCCGCGGGGTGCGGCGCGGGGGGGTCGCGGGGTGCGGCGTGGGCGGGTCGCGGGGTGCGCCGCGGGGCGGGTCGCGGGGCCGGCAGGCGGGGCGGGTCGCGCGGGGGGGCGCGCGCGGCACAGCGCGGCAGTGAGTCGGCGCCCCGGCGCCCGACTTCGGCCACGCACCCCGTGGCAAGGTGAGGCAGTTCGGCCTCTGCTCTGACAGGGGGACGTCGAGTTCGCCCCGTAGCCAGTGAGGTAGTCAGATCGATGGAGGTTTCGGTGGAACGATCGTGATGCCGATTGATTGGTCGCGAGAGCAATAGGTCGAAAGCGATGGCGACACGTAGAGGGTGATATCGGCAGGTATGTGTTGAGATCGGTAGATAGCGAGGTCGAGAGATCGATGTATTGCGAGTCCGATCCGGCGCCCATCGCAAATCGACAGCTACGCCCAACATTTGCCCAAACTTGCTTATGACCCCAGGCGTGGTCTACATGGTAAGGCTGTGTCCTTCTGTGGTGCCTTAATTTCGCGCTTGGCTTGTCTCCTCCTGCTTCTCCTCCTCCTCCTCCTCCTCCTCCTCCTCCTCCTCCTCCTCCTCCTCCTCCTCCGCTCAGCTCATTCCCTCTCGTCATCACCCTGCTGATCTTGATCCTCGTCTTTGTCCTGGCCCTCCTCCTCCTCCGCTTCAGCGCGCGCTATCCTGCCCGTGATTTGCGCCCCCGCGCCGTTCCTTCTCACCCCACCCCACCGCGCCCGCGATCCTCTCTCCCCCCCCCCTCGCGCTCCCGAAGCCGACAGGGCATGCAGGACTCGAAGGGCGGCGTCATCGGCATGCTGGAGGTGTGCCTGTCGGACTTTGCCCGCCTGGAGACCGAGACCTCCCTGGCCGAGGAGGAGGCCACCCACGGGGGAAGGGGGGTGTGGAGGTTGGCGCGGTGGAGGAAGAAGAGAGAGGGAGGGCCAGCGCCGGGGATGGAGGGGCAGGGTCGGGGATGGAGGAGGGAGGAGGAGGAGGAGGAGGAGGAGGAGGAGGAGGAGGAGGGGGAGGAGGAGGAGGAGGAGGAGGAGGAGGAGGAGGAGGAGGGAGGCCGAGGAGGGAGAGGAGGGAGAGAGAGAGGGAGGCGAAGCGTGATGGAGGAGGGGCAGAAGGAAGGGATGAGGGAGAGGGAGGAGGAAGATGAGGAGGAGGAGGACCAGTGTAAATCCAAGAGGCATCAGCGATGTTGGAATAAACCCTCCCTTCAAGCTCCCTCTTCATAGGCCCCTACCGAAGGAACTGCGTTGTTGGAAGGCAATTGTTTGAAGATCCCGAAGCACGCATGCCAAGACATTGTTCCCGGGATTCCAATTCCACGGATCAACCTGACTGTTACGTTTTGACAACCCTGAATCGTGCCAGAACGCCATTCTTGGGACTTCAACACCGCGAACCAAAGTTGCGAATCCGTCCTGAGGGTCGCGAGAGGAGTCGAGCTCGAGAGGATCAGAGGATGATGCTCTTCTTGCCTCCTGCTGATAGCGGCTGAGGGCGCCCGGGCGTCCGCGCGGAAGGGGGCCTATCGAACCATAACAGTGGCTACGGCAACAGACGGGTCCGCAAGGGCTCAGGCTGTGGAGGGGTCTCTAGAGGGGCCCTCAGGGGTCCGTGTTCGCATTCGTCTACTCTCTTTTTCTGGCTCCTCACTTCCTGACCTTCACACTGTCACCCATCTGCCAGTCGCCTGTGCCATCGTCGTCTTCACCGACTGCCTGTGCTCGCTTTGGGGTGGTCTCCTCCTCCCCGTCGGGCACGTACATCTGCAACGTCTTGAGAATCCTGTCCCTCATCACCGGGTACTCGGAAAGAGACCACCCGACGCTCTCGAGGATGGCGTCCATCGCCTCGGAGTATCCCTCGTCGTCCGGGAGCGTGATCTTCTCGTCGCCGTCCTGCTCGATCTCCTTCTTGCTCGCCTTCACCGTGTTGTTGCGGAAGAACTCCGTGGCCGGCGACTTGATTTCCAACTTCGGCTTCTGGTCGAGCGGTGCTCTTTGCCATGAAGCGTACGCCCTCTCCAGCATCTTGCACTTGTCCCGAATCTCGTCCTCCAGTGCCACTCCCGTCATCACCTGGATGTTCCCGGTGTTGGCCACGTACTGCAGCGTCACTGGCGTGTTGCCCTTCTTCGCCTGCACGGCGCCCAGGAGCGTCTTGGCTGGCACCCTCACCTTGACCCTGGCCTCCGACTCCACGTAGGACGACACGTCCGGGTAGACGTCCACCAGCCCGAGCAGAAATGCCCTGGCCTGCTCGTCGCTGCCCGTCGCCTCGAACTTCACCATGGCCCAGGCCTGGAGGCTGGCCCAGGGCACTTGCCCGGCTCGCACGAGCCGCCTTCTCACTTTGAGCCTTAGCCAAGGTTACGGACTCGTCGGCTAGCTGGTACGCTCCTGCTCTCATACACGCTCGTAGTACATCTGCTGCTTCTGCTTTATCTTTTGTCAACGCATCTCCTAACATGAGCTCCGTCGGGCCCCAGCGAAGAGTACCACCAAACCTTCGGAGGCTCCCTTTGGCGATCGCTATGTCTATGGAGGCCTTCTTGTCATCGAGTCCTGTGGGGGCCCCAGGTTTCGTCACGTGGTCGAACACCGACTTGCAATCGATAACGCTGATCGCCGAGAACTTCCTGGAATACCGATCCCGATTTTCTAGGCAGAACGTGGGGTACAGGGTGGCCGCGAACGAGCACATGATCCACTCCAGGTGGCCCAAAGACGCCTTCAGAAGCTTGCTCTCTCCTGCCAGTGTCGACGTACACCCTTGTTTGATCTTTTGGGACTTCCAGACCAGAGGGCACCAGGGGGCCAAGAGACCTTTTGCCATGGAGGGGTCCGTCGCACCTATGATGTACCCGCCCTGTGTCCTCCCCGTCCCGTCCAGGTCCTTCGAGGAGTAGTCCGAGTGGCAAACGAAACGCAAACGTTCTGGAACAATACTCTGGAAAGTCACCGAGATCTCGTGAAACTGCTTCGCCCTCCTGACCCAAGCATTCGAGCGTCTGATCTGGCCGACCGTCGGGTGAGGCATGATCTGCTGGGAGAAGGAAATCTGGCAACTCAGATCTGGCCTCGTCTGTCCTGCCAGCCAGTTCCCTTGCTGCGTAGTCGAAATGTGGTTGTGCACTTCCGACGGCAGAGCTACATCATCGGGCCGAGCTGATTTCCTCGTCCTCGCGGGGGTGATACCCTTCGTGTATTCTGACTGCGACTGGACGATCGAGTAGTCAGCTCGCTGAGTGAGGACCGATCCCGTGAACTCCCCACTCCCTGTCACCCACTTTCTGAATGGAAACCTCGCTCGCAGCTTTTTCATCGCAGTGGCCCACAGCTGACCGCGGCCACCATTGATCTGATCGTCCACATGCACTCCAAGGATGCCGCACAGCGCGCCAGGCTCACCACGCAGCTGGGCGCTCTCAGAACCAGTGGCGTACGGTATCACCGACACCCTGTCCTTGGCGACCAGGCCGGCGTTCTCCTGGGTCACGGGCTCCCTCAGCAGGAACACGCACGGGTCCATGGGGTGCTGGTCGAACTTCAGCTCCTCCAACATGTACCGCTCGAACGTGCGCCACCACTGCTGAGGTTGGTCTCCCAGTCCGTATCCGTTGACCACCTCGAAGAGCTGCTCCGGGTGATAGCCCTTCAGCGTGTAGTCCTTCGGCATCGTCACGTAGATCGGGCCATTCGGCCTGGCCTCCGGCTCTGCCACGAGGAAAGCTGACTTCACGTCGCCGATGGTCAGGTCGAACTTGCAGGACGCCAACGTCTGCAAGAGCATCGCCCTCCCGTTGGTGGACATGGTAGGGCTCGCCGTCCGTCCTTCACGCACCAGGTCCAGGATGTCCGGGTCCTTGAAGCCCTGCAGCGTGCACCGGCACTTGACCTCCTCCTTGCCGTCGTCGCCCGTCCGCAACGTCAGCACCGGCCTCGGACGTAAGATCCGATCTGGCACCTGGGTCTTCAGCAGCCGCGACTTCTCCAAGTCCACTGGCTTCCATGCCTTGGTCTCGTGCACCAAGCTCGTCATTTCCTTGGTGTACGCCTTCTCGATCATCGCGAGGCCCTCGGGTGATTTCCACTTGTCCTCCTTGGGGTTGATCTCCTTACTGCCCTGCGTGAGCAGAACGTCCACCTCGTTCACGATGACGTCTTCATCCACATCTCTCGCCAGGTGTGCATTCGCCGAGTCCCTGAGCGGTGGGCTCGGCAGACTCGGAGGATACGTCACACCTCCGAACTGCTGCTGGCTGCTGGACGGGTCGTCGATGGTCGTCTGCTCCTCCAGCCGTGGACGCTTGGCCTCATCCTGCTCCTCGCGGTTCTCATCCATCTGGCCCTCCATCGGCTGGTAGGCTTCGCTCACCGTCCTCTTGTCCAT